AGCTGGAACTACTGGTTGATGCTGACACACCTAGTTCTTTTGGGTATATACCTACAAGTAGAATTATTGGATCATACGTTATTGTTTTTTTTTTTTTCTTGAGATAGTGTCTTGCTCTGTCACCCAGCCACTACAGCCTCAGACTCCTGGGTTCAAGTAATCCTGTTGCAGCCTCTCAAGTAGCTGGAACTACTGGTTGATGCTGACACACCTAGCTAAATTTTTGTTTCTTGTAGAGTTGGATTCTCACTCTTCCTTAGGTTGGTCTTGAATTCCTGGCCTTAAGCAATCCTCCCACCTTGGCATCCCATGTTGATAGGAATACAAGTATGAGGCACCTCACCCAGCCTGCTTTTTTTTTTTTTTTTTTATAGAGACAGTCTCACTTTATCGCCCTTGGTAGAGTGCTGTGGCGTCACAGCTCACAGCAGCCTCTAGCTCTTGGGCTTAGGTGATTCTCTTGCCCCAGCCTCCCGAATAGCTGGGACTACAGACACCTGCCACAATGCCAACTATTTTTTTGCAGTTTGGCCAGGGGTGGGTTCAAACTTGCCACCCTCAGTATATGGGACTGGCACCCTACTCACTGAGCCATAGGCACTGCCCCCAGCCTGCTTTTTTTAATTAGAGTTTTTGTTGTTGAGTTGTAGGAGTTCTTTATGTATTGTGGATACTAGGCCTTCTTCAGATGTATGGTATGCAAATATTTTCTTCTATTCTGTGGGTTGGATTGTCTTTTTTGCATATCCCTTTTCAAACTGAAACAGTAACATATCTACCCGAATCCCATTCCCCTACCATCCCAGATCAAAGGTAACATTACTATTCTGAATTTTGTGTTTATATTTTCTGTTTATTATAGTTGTACCAGCTAGATATTCATGCCTATATAACATCTCATTTGAGTCACTTTTGGACTTTATAAAAGGTCAATAATTATACATGGTGCTGAATGGTTTTCCAAAGTGGTAGCAGCAATTTATACTCTCTGCCCAATTTCCTCCAGGCTGACCCTTGGGAAGCCTGTGGGATTTGCCTTCATCCCTTGCAATGTCCCCAGGGAGACTCCAGGAACCTTAAGGGTGGGGTGTGTTCTGGCTGTCTTGGGGTAGAGGGAAGTGGCTCTTCTAAGATGGTGGCCGGGAAGGGACTCACCTGGGGTGGGGCTTCCCTGCCTTGCTGTCTGGGGCCCCTGGGAGTAGGCATGCATCCTTGGTTGGGTGGCAGTGAGTAACCCATCAGTGGGGTATGTAAGTAGAGACCTGGCTCCCTCAGGGATCTCTGGGGTTAGAAAAGAAGCTTTGACAGAGACCCAAGTTCTCAGGCAAAGAATTTAGCTCTGTTCAAGTTTTATTGGACCCCTTTCAGTCTGGGGCTCCTGCCTCTTGGCTCAGTCCAGTTGCTCAGAGGGAAGGAGGGAGGGAGGATGAGCAGAAGGAAAGGGCTAGAGACAGATCATCGGCCCTCCCTGCCTGCACTGGCTGGGGCCCTCCCTGTCTCCCTGGAGCTAGCCCAAGGGCCACCAGTCCAGGCCCCTCGCAGCCACCCTTGGCCAGTGGTTATGTGGCTGATGTGTGCCCATTGACCAGCCGCCCAGCCACGCGGCTCCGAGGGCCGTCAATAGGTGCTGCCCCATGCCCTCGAGCTGCCCCGTTCTTGAGCTGTGGACATTCATGGGACTCTGCTGCCTCTTCCTCACTGGAGTCTGACTCTTCCACGTCACTGCGCACGTCCTTCTCCATCTGGGGAACAGGGAGGAAGCTCAGAGCAGGGAAGAGCTTGGGGATTGGGCTAAGGACCCCAGGGTGGTACCCTGCCCACACAAGCTATCCCTGCCTGGCCGTACCTGGCCCTTCTTTACGAAGCTGAAGAGCATGCGCAGGATGAGGCAAGCCCAGAACACGTGCAGCAGCTGCAGCAGCATCAGAAGTGTGTTGAAGAAGTAGTAGCCGAAGAAGGGGCTCCACTCCCTGATGGAGTCATAGTACGTGGTGTGGAGGATCCTACATCGGAAGGATGGAGGGACTTCACCAGCCGCTAACTTGCATCTGCTCTGAACCACCTATGACTCCCAGTGATCCCTGTGCTTCTTAGCTGGTATATAAGGCACCTCTCTCATCTGCTTATACAAAATCAGTAGGACGCTGTGCTAGCCGTCTGGATGTTCCCCACTAGGACCCTCAAGGGGACACCTAGTACCCCAGTTTCTCTCCTGGGTGAAGCTTTCACATCTTCTCTCCCCTCCTCACTCTCCCAGCTCCTCCTCCATCAGCAGGTGACTACCGCCTCATCAGCTGCACAGAATGTCCACTTTGCCCCTTGGGCCATGTGTCATTTCTGTTCTCTTGAAACTCCTTCAAAGAACAGACTGTAGCTACAGTGTCCCCTATTGGTCCCCTAATCCACTCTAGGGTAGCCAGTGATCTGCCTTAATCCACAGCACTCAACCCCCAGAGGACACACAGCAGATGCCCCTATCACCCCTGCAGGCTCCTGCTCAGCCTACAACAGCAGAGAACCCAAGGATGGGCCCCTCTGGCCACACCTGGTTCCTGGGTGACCTTGCCTAGACTTGTGACTGCAAATCCCAGCAGTTGGGCTGGTGACTCCTATATGTACCTCTCTCCCCAGAGGCCCAGACTGGCATGCTCGCCTCCTCCATGTCTCATCAGGGACAGGGGGTACTGGTACCTCATCCAGCTCTTCCCATGCTTGTGTTCCATCTCCTGATCCTGGGGGAACGCCCCTTGAGAATCCACCCACTCTGTCAGTACACTGGTCTCCTTGTTTTCCCTGCCTGCACCTCCCACCATCTGTTCCCCCTGAAGCCACAAGAGGGCGCCCGTAAGCACCCGCGTCAGGTCCAGGCAGCCGCCTCTGCTCACAGCCCTCCACGCCACCCACCTCCCTTGGAGTCAAAACCAAAGTCCTCCTTGCAGCCCACAAGGGCCTGCACGACCTGTCCTGTCCCCTCCTTCCACCTTTCTCCTCTTTCTTCCCCTCACTGGCTCTGCTCTAGCCACATGAGTCTCCCTGGGTTCTTAGCTCATTGGGGCACAGTGCTCTTCCTCTGCCTGAAACACTTCCCCTACAATCAGCACAGTTCTCCTCACCTCCCTCAAAACCAGGGACAGTGTTTCTGTCCACTGTCAGAGGGGCATTCCCTGACCATCCCATCTGATTCCTGCTACCGTCCTAGCTTTACTTTGTTTAGCACTATCACTCCTTCATATGCTCTGTATTCCCCGTTTGCCTCATTTTCCGTCTGCCCCCACCCATGCAATGTCAGCTCTACAAGGACAGGGATCTTTGGGTTGCTACTTCTGCTGTGGCTTCAGCACCAGGCACACTCAAGAGGCTCAAGAAATATTTATTGGGCAAAGATTTTAGTGAGTGGGCACCCCTGACCTCTCCCGTCTCCACGTTCCTGACACGCTGAGTAATGACTATGTCCAGCTCTTGCTCTCACCTTTGGGCCTTTGCATATGCTGTGGCCTGTGCCAGGCACACCCTTTCCTACTTATTTCTGGAAGTCTCCCAGCTAATTACTCCCAGCATCCTGGGGCAGAGTGCCAAGGGTGAGGCCATCTGGGGTCTCTAACACGCCCTCCCACTTCCTCAACCCTCCACGGGTCAAGGGCCGACTCACTGGGTAGGGAAAAGCACGAGGCGAGTATAGAAGAAAACCAAGGAGAAGATGATGAAGAGGACGTTGCACGCTGTCCGGAAGGGCGTGTAGTTGAACATCTTACAGGCCTGAGGGTGGGGAGCAGAGAGACACAGAGTCAGGAGCACAAATGAGGTAGGAAGGGTGGGCCAGGCAAGGCATGCACCTCTGATAGGCAAGGCGCTAGGGGGATGGAGCAGGTTTGGTGGGGTAGGGCCTTGTCTTCAGGAATTCCTAAAAAGGTAAAAGGTGTGTACTCCTCAGTGGGGAAGTGAGTATAATTTTGCCTAGGCTGATAGGGGCTGGACTTCATTCCCCAAGAAAGAAAGGGGTGGAGCTAGGGGTGGGGCCTTACCACCAGTAGACTGAGAAGGCAGTGCCTTATCACCCAAGAAGAGGGGTGGGGCTTCATTACTGGAGATGCTGAGACCACTGGGCCCCAAGGGGTCAGACTGAAAAGAGGTGGGGCTTCCCCACCCCGGAAGATGGAAAGGGCAGGGCCTCATCTCCAGGGGCACCTCAGGAGGGCAGGTGAGGGCCAGCCCACCTCCAGCAGGAAGTCGGCAGAATCATGCAGCAGCAGCACCAGAGAGCCGATGCGCAACAGGTTGGCGCTGTAGGAGAAGGTAATCAGGGTGATGGTCACGAAGTGATGTACCACCTGCTCCATGAAATCCTGTGGGAGACGGTGAGTCTCAGTAGGAGGAGGCCCCACCCCACGGGCCTGGAAGCAGGCCTTCTCAGGGGTTTGGTGTGGCCTCAGACCCCAGGGATGCTATGCTTCCTGCCCGAGGCACCCAGGGGATCTCAGGTATGGCTTTGAGGCCACTCCTCCCGGCTCCGGCTCCCTGTCCAGAAACTGGGTATCGCTCCCCTTGCAGGACTTGGCCTGGCTTTACCTTTCGCTTGACATCAAAGGGCAGTGTGATTAGCAGGGAGATGTAGAAACTCAGCTCCAGGAGGTACCACCAGTACAAGGCTGGCTTCATGGTCTGTGGTAAGGCAGGACAGGGCAGGACAGAGTTAGCTGTGGGAGTGAAGGCTCTAGCCAGGCAGGGGCATGGCTCAGGGCCCTTTCTGTTTGTTCAAAACCAGGGCACCTGAATCTTAATGAGTGAGCTCCCTGTCCCTGGAGGTAATCAAGGGCACTGGTTTTTTTTTTTTTTTGAGACAGAGCCTCAAGCTGTCCCCCTGGGTAGAGT